CTTCCTCATGTATTCATCCTTTTCGGTATGAAACTCTTCAGCAAGTACACTTTGTAAAACAAGAGAAGTTAGTGCCATCAATATAAAATTTAAGTTCCTCACCTGTCTAAAGGATCATCAGGTTCTGGGGCCATCAAGAGACCATAGATGTGATCAAAAATTTCTTTGACTGACAAGGTAGGTAAATAATTTCTACCAAGTATAGGATGACAAATACGTCCATTTGAATTAATGTTGCAATGATATATCTAAAATAAAATGGTATAAAAAAGATGGTATGATTTTCATTTTTACAAAACATACTGGAGTAATGAATCTCATCTCAGGTGGCTTATGAGGATATTCCTTTGGAAATTTAGCAAAAATAAGGAAAACTCCTACATATACATGTAATTTTCACAAATTATTTCAGTTAAAAATCTGTTATTCCACTATAATTATTACTGACCTCCACTATAAGGAGTGCCTGATGGTCCTCTCAGAATTATTTTCCACTGGCAAATGCTACAAAAATGTCAAACTTGTGCACAACAAATTAGATAATATCTAGTTACTTTTTTTCATCAGGAAATACTTCTATATCTTGATGAGGATTTCTCACATAGGTCTTTAATTCTCTCATAACACTTTGAACATTAGGTTGTTTGCTACTAGATGTATGACTCAAATGTTCATCACTCATTATTGTTGCTAGCGTTATCATTCTATAAAATGTATATATTTGTCATTATAATAATACCATGAGTACATAATACCAAAAGGATGTGTAGATCAAACCTCTTAGCAGAGCAAGTTACAGTTTTATCTATTCCCTCAAAAAAGGTGCTTGGGAATGAGTATGGATCAGTTGAATCATAATCTCTTCGTTGTATTTGATCAAAATCTGCCTGAATGTGATTAATTATTACAAGTAAAAATAATAGACAGCTACTAATAATAATACCTGACTAGAAAGGGAAGGCAGTTTCCTTTCACTCCTTTGTCTTATTGACAATAGTGTTTCCATTTCAAATATGCGTGTTCCTTCTCGGCGGTTTTTAGGCAAAAAGCATAGCCCACCTAAATTATCTCAAATATACTTTTCATAATCATAAAATTAATGTACCTGTTGCATGAGAGATTGCTTTCAAGTTTGCGTTTCCTCCAGAAGTTATTAATATAGAATCTACAACAACTTTTTTTTTCTAAAAATGCATATCAACTATAATATATGTAGAGCTTTGACACACAACATATCAGGAAGTGTATGGGTCCCATAATGCAACCCTTAATAACATAATTACTATGAGCTTACAGCAAGAAATACTGACACATCAAATGGTGTAGCTTTAGATCTGTTGTCTTCTCCATCAGTCAGGCAGAGAATTCTCCTAGATCAAAGTATTTTATTTCAACAAAATTTAATTTACCTATGGCATGAAGGAAACTGTGATGTGAACTCAGAAAGAGAATTTGCTCCTGCTTTTAAAGCATCGTACAAGGCAGTTTGGCCCTGTACTTCATTATTGGCCTCTTTAATTGCTGACTATTGAATATAGTATGAATACTATTTTGCTTTTAGTCTATTACAACATACTTCAAAGTTTGCCTGTGATTTAGACAGTGATAAAACTTCTTTTGGAGTATCATTAAAGTAAATGGCACCCAAAACATGAGGCAGTTCATAAGCTTGTGTTCTGTTTGCAAATGCAGTGAAGAAGTCAACAGCTGCAGTAATTCGTCTGTATTTATCATTTGGGGCATATCTATAATGAATATTGTATAATTGCATGGATATGCATATAGTGAATACTCTTTAAATATTTCTCCACTCATGGAACTACTTGTATCAAGCACTACCTAAAAATTTTAAAAAATATTTAAGAGTTCATGTTTTATTTTGTAATGCACCATAATAGCTTCTTTTGGCTCTCTAGTGATGCCTTCTTTACTCGAAGATTCAGCACTATAAAACAGCAATCACGAAATGAATACATTTCAATATGTTCTGTTTATTACCTTTTTTGTGATGATTCAAAGTCCTTCAGCAGTGCTTTTGCTTTCGGATGAAGAAACTCAGCAATATTGTGAGTGACACTTTTTTCCTTAATTTCTTCTAAATCATCCTCTGAATAAGTATCTTGTTCACATGTTATTGGATTATAAAAAAAATGCTGTGGTTTTGCAGTTTTTGTATTGCCAAGGTAAACTGAAAGGTGACCTATATATTTTGTTACAATTTAATGCAAATAACAAAATTATTTTTAACCTTCTTTATTGCAAGTGAAACAGTATGTTTTACCCGAAAAATCTTCCTTTCTTACTTTTATAACATTTTCCCTTAATTCTTTCCATGAACATGGAAACATCAATGGTCTAATTTTCCTTAAAAAAATTAACTGAATTTGTTGTTTACAACTAAATATAAAATACATTTTTCCTGAAGAAATTTTTAGGGCCTGAATTTCTGCAAAATGACTGCTGAATGAAAATGCAATTAGATAGTGTTGAAGTTGCTCATTAGGCATCAGATCCTGTTCCTCAATACAATCACCACATTCAGGTAAAACCTCTTTGTCTAAATAAAAAGTCGTGCAGATTAAGCAATGTAGCACTACTATTATCTTTACTTTTAATTAGCTTCACTGCAGCCTTCCTCTCATATGAAAGTTGATTCGTGACAGGGGCATCTGTGATGACAGTAACAGGCTCAATTATTTTGTTACTAGTAATTGGACACCTCAATTCAATTATATCAAATTCCAATGTATGCTCATCATATAAATTCTATATCATATGAAACTGACATGTGTTCAAAGTTGTGGAATTATAATACCTCTGAGTACTTCATTATGTATCCAAAAATGTAGTCAAAAAATTCAAAAACTTGATTGTCGTTAACTATAATAGAAAATCTATTAAATTTGCATTATTACTTACTATAATCTACATACCATTGCAAAAATTTGCCAAAAATGCTTTTGACAAGGTATAAAAACCTTCAAACAAAATAGCCTATGTATATAATAAATTTTTTTTGTAAGCATTGTAAGTATTATTTATAATTATTTGATGTCCTTACTAAATAAGACAAATGATAAAATGAAGAAAATTTTCTAAATTGATGCAGTGCTGCAGTTAACGGAACACAATCTGCAATTTTAGAAACAGCATTAGCTATTTTGTGGCACAAAAAATGAGTTTGATATGCCTAGTAATTATAGAAAGTAAGTTATAAATTAAACTTAAAGTATACCATACCAAATATTTTAAAACAGAGTAAAATTTAGCCAATCCTTTTTCTGTCTGTTCTTGTAATGGTATGTAACTAGGTTTCCCAAAATCAGTATCAATTGAATGAAGCTCTTTGAAACGTATGATCACCTCAGGCTCACATGCCTCAGCATCAAATGCTATTTTATCATCTTCACTCATGGGATCATCAAATACACTATTATGAATAATTGTCAAATGCATTTTAAATATACTATTGACAAACTTTTTGTGTAATGTCAAGAAACAGGAGGGTATGTTCAAAATACGTGAAGCTTTTTGAAGCACTTTTTTCACTGTGAGAGTATCAAAATTTACATCTATTGTAAAATGCCCAAAAACCTCACTCAAAACCTTTAGTTTGCTTTGGCCTATAGAAATATCAAAAATTAGTTATAGTGTACGTACAATCCTTTGTAAAAAAAGTTATAAATATAAAATACCTTTTTCATTAGCCTCATCTAATATTGTTGCTGGAGGATCCCAAAAAGGTTGTGATTTTCTTCGTGGAAGAACATAATATGAATCATTTAGCTGCACTTCCCACTTGCTAAGTGTCACTGTAAAAATTTTATAACAAAAATTAATTTTTAAAGTTTATAGGTCTGGTATAGCTCTATATATATTCTTACAATTTGAAGTATATTCATTAACATTTAATGGAATTCCATTTTTATTGTATAGCTCTAGGGTTAACTCTTGATCAAGGTGATGTATGCTGCAAATTTCCCTAATCAAAAATTCCATAGTATCCTGTTCTGGATTTACAGATATGCATCGCTCCTCTTGGTTAATAATAAACATATCAATACAGAGAACATATTTTATTTGGAACTGCTTCTTTGACTTTGGTGCTTGTTTGATCACATTGTAGCTTAATTGCAATGGTGACAATGAAATAGATACGTCATCAGGTGTTGCTGATGTGCGCTTTTTATACCGATCATAGTGATAGAGTAAAGCTCTACATTGAACAACTTTGATACCTACAAAAAATCATTACTTATAGTTAAAACCTACAAAATTTTAGCTTTCATTGTTATCCTCATTAAAACTTATACTGATATACCTGCTTCCATCAGATCTTCTTTTTGCATAAAATCTAGATGCTCCAGTTTAGTAACTCCATACACCTCATCTAACTTTTTAAGTGCAGATGGTGTAACTTCAATCTCATGCTCAATAATAAATTCTTCTAATTCATTGGACATTTTGCCTTTCTATAATTATTTTAATTAATAACAAAATATAGTCATATTATATACTGAGACATAAAAAATATAGATCAATTATTAAGTATACAGCTGCACAAAAAATGTGGTTAGCAAATTGCACAGGTACTGTATAGCAGGAAATTTTGGAGAGATTTGAATTCGGCAAATTTGGCATTTTGATAGCCATTTGTCAATATAAAATCTGCTTATTTTGAGCCATTATACGCATGATCAATGGCACATGGCCATTAATTCACCAAATTAAAATTCGCCAATCACAAATTTTTAACAATCTGCCAAAATTAACTCACTCCAAAATTTCCTGCTATACGTGTAGACTATCTAAGATAATGTTGAGGACAAATTTATGTCCAAAACAGCTTGCGGGAAAAATGCAGTGTTTCAGTGCACATAACGTGATGATATGCAACTCTCGCTATACCCAGACCCTTCGCCTAGAGTCAAATCAGTCAATGACTGTAGGCAAAGGGTCTGGGCAGCAAGACTGTATGTAACTATAATTGCAACATATATGCAATTATAGTAAATTGTCATAACACAACTTTATAGTTTTCCTTATAAGGAAAATATGCTCACGTATGTTTACTTTGCTAGTACAGTACGTTTGTAGTTTACCGAGCAAAGCGGGGTTGTTGCCAACGAACTGGACAGGAAGAAGAAGCTAGGTAAATTGACACCAATTTCTTTCGAAGAAGGTCCGAGTTATTGATCAGAGAAAACAAAAATTTCTTAAACTTTAAATGAGGATGCCGAATAAAAAGTTTTCTCTCCACGCCGAACTTACCGTGGCACCGTATAATTAAGTGCTAGATGTCTACTCTGGCCTTCTATCTAAATCAACTAATAATATTTGATAATAATAATAACAATAATACAATCCTAACTTCACAACATACCTGATATAGATCTAAGAAGTCAAATGAGTGTAGCAGGCAACATAGATATCTCATGCAGGCATAGATAATCTATTATGCAGGCATAGATGCAGGCAAGCAGCGCTCAGTCGAGTTTATAATCGGAGAAGTCACGTATGAATCACGTGACCCTGTACTGGCGAAATCAGACCGTGTAGACCAATGTGTAGACTAGAGGAGACAGTAGCCAGGTTACTATTATAGTGTCGACAGTAGTCTCGCCCCGCCCCTTCGCTTGTCGACAGTTGTAGCTATGCAATGCTTTTACTGAGTGTCACTCCCTTTTTGTCTGCCCATTACACTACAAAAATTCATTATTAACATTGACTCTTGACTCTTGAGTCTTGACAACATTCAGTAAGCAAACTTGCAGTGCATGGACTGTATGCTCACACATAAAAGTGTAACTATAAGAGTGTAACTATGTATTGGAACACGTTGTTTTCTTTAATATGTATAACATCTCCCAAAAATCTCTTATTATTATTGTTATTATTATTACATTTTTAATTGTATAGTAATAGTAATAATAATAATAATATTTCATTTTCTTTATTTTCTTTAACTTATTTCATAACATATTTCAACTTTATTCTTATTTTTGTTTTATTATAATAATGATAATAATTAAAAATAATAATAATAATAATAATAATAATAATAACAATTATTATTATCATTACCACTATTAGATCTATTACTACTATCACTATTACCCGCACTATTATTATAATTATAAAATAAAATAAATTAATGTCAGGTTTGGTTAAGTTTTAAAATGAAAATTAGAATAATAATTAATAATAGTAACTTTTAAAGATAGGATAAGTTAGGACATCATTAAAGGTAGAGTAGAACCATCTGCCATATCAACAGATCTCCATTATTATTATTATTATTATTATTATTATTATTATTATTATTATTATTATTATTAAAACAAACAGGCAACAGAAACATCAACAATAAAGTATTAGAATTGGTAAAATTAAGTTAGTAGGAAAATAATAGGTTAATTAAGTCATTGTTATTTTAATAAGAGAATAGAGATGGGTTGACGCCTAACCCATCCTCGATAGTCATCCCTCTCCACTTAGATCTAGTGCATCGAATACATAAGTTGGTTGCTCAAAGTAGAGCGAAGGACAGTTTAGTTCTAACCCAATTCACAGTCACACTGTAGTGTAGATCCCATCTAACAGAAAGACAGTCAGCTAGACGATCAATAAAGGATCTCATTTCACTACCCATAACACCATACAGTGG